ACTATTATTTTTAAAATTTTTAAAAGCTGCCATTCACTGAGCATCTATCAAGTGATAGATACTTAAATCTCTCAGCAATAATTTTTCCATAAGGCAAGTATTATCATCCCCCCATCTTAAAGATAAAGAAGTAAAGGCTCCAAGAGTTTACACTGCTTGCCCCATGTCAAACAGCCTGTTGATGGTGTAGCCAGGATCGGAATCCCCATTTAGCTAGCTGTAACTCTGAGCTCTATCATACTGCCCAACTGTCTCAACTCTTATATTTTGCTTCTTTATAATTTTATTTTCAAAGGCTAACCACTACAATTTGGGGGTACCTGGTCAGCAACCTCACATAAACTGGAATTCTCTGGAAGTTGAGAATGCAATTCAAAGGGCTGATTAAATTAGTAGTCTAAAACAAAATAACCCTTCAGAGACTAGTGGGACAAGACAGACACAAAATAAGAGTAACTTATTAGTTAGGAATAAATTGGAGGACAATAAAAAACCTCAAGTTGAGATAATTCATTATTATAGATTGTTTAGCTTCAAAATTAAGACAAACGGTAGGGGGGGGGCCTTAGAAAATACTCACTAGCCTTGAATTCTGACAAATTTAAGTTCAGGGGTCTTAACAGGTCAGGATCTACTGGTAGTTCTTGCTTTACCTGGTAGGTATCCAAGTTGGCTGATCTGTCCGTGGGTTTGCCAGAACTTCCAGTAAAGAAACAGAAAAGCAGTATAGTGACAACCCATAAGCCTCATCAGCAGAACTTTAACACTGGCATTGTCACTATCTCATTCCTACCCCTCAAATAATTTGTAAGCTTTGAGAAAACAGGCTCTCCTCCCCAAACACACACAAAAATGGGTTACATCTCTCCTTTCATGTATGTAAAAATTTTGAAGGTTTAGCCACAAGAAGGGAGAGCAATGCCCCACAGTACTTAATTCCTAAAACAGGAAAAAATCATGTCCCTTGTCCAGAACTCTTCTATCAAAAAAGGTTGCAGAAGTTCCTTATTCTTGTATTCTGTAAGTTCCTTATTCTGAAGAGCCTGAAGGTAAAATATCATGAGCTAGAATAAGCCCACAGAAAATATGATTAGCAAGCATGACTAGAACGCTAAGGAGTTTCCTGGCTGCTGCATATTACAAATAATGTAGCTCCATCAGGAATATTTCATGTAATACTATATGAACTCAATTACTTCAATAAGTTTAGTTAAAACAAAACCCTGTAGTTCCAGGGTCACAGGTGAGATTTTTATTCCATAAATATGAAATTAAAAAGAATGATTACTATTTTACTCTGTATAATCATTGCAGACTAGAAATTAATAGCAATACCCATTAATATATTGTATTCATTAAATTTCTTTAACTATAAATTATTACACAGTTAAAATTTCAGAACTTCAAAAGAATCTTATGAATTTTCTAGCCAGGAAGAAATTACACCTATTTTCAAAAACTTCCATATCAAGATTTTCAGTTGGCAAATTTCATCTTTTATTAAAACATAATAAATGAGAAACTAATAATAGTGATTGATTCCAAGTAGGAGAATCTAGTATGTGAGGCAGGTGTAGGCAAGAAACTCTGGAATTTTAAATTATGTGCATTTATTACCTATTCAAAGTAATCAATTTTAACTACAAGCTAAAAGTGCTCAGAATACATAGCGCTTCTTCAGGCTTATTATAAGCTTTCCTCATACTTCTCCTAGAAAAAGACTACCAAAGAGATATTAAAATAAATTCAGCAGAACAAGTTGCAAAAGTGAAATCCTTGTAGGATTTTTAAAAGAAAAGAAATATAAAAAATCTAACCCCACACTACTTCCAGATTCACTGAGTCTGAAATGTATTATCCAAGTGTCCCTATGTGCAACACAAATTACTTTCTACTAAAGTAGTATGTGAAATCCTAAACTCTGGAACTTAAGCTAAAATACCAAAACATATAATGATTAGTATTCCATCTTAAGACAGTGGGCCATTTCAGATAACATGAGTGAAGACAGCATTCCATGAAACACCCAGGCCAATTATTTCCCAATGTGGGTTATAAGTAATTCTCCCCCATGGAAGGCTTTGAAAAGTCCTTATAAAAATTCACTCTAGAAGACTATTTCTTTCTACATCAAACATTGGCCATTACATACACAAGAAAGAGTGTGCGTGTGTGTGTGCGCGTGTGTGTTTAAGGACATATCAAGGAAGTTTTTAGATGAATTAACCTGTGGGTGAATAAGCAACTAAAACCAGCCCTGACAAAATTTTTGCCTGAAAAAAAATACTATCTTGTAACTGTTCTATTACCACTAAAAAGCCAAAAATCCATCCTTTATGTGAAATATACAGACTGATTTAACTTGTCTTAAAAACAGTGAGTCTGACTTCAATTCCTGACCAGGAAAGCTGTCTGATCCACTATTATGTAACTCTATCCAAACTCTAATGTAAGAGTTACATATCCATTAAGAGTTAGTTAAAAAAAAAAAAAAAAAAAGTAAAACACACACACGTGTTAGCTGTAGTTCCTTAATTACCTTGTCAAAATTATGAAACCCAGCATATTCTTAAACAACAATAAAACCTCTCCTATCCAAACCAGAAATAGTGACACTCTGCATGCTCCATAAAACTTTTAAAATAAAGAGTATTCCTTTTGGCTAACTTCTGATCATTATGTGAACTGTACATTTTAAAAAAGTAATCAAATTGCCAATTTTTGAAGAATTACATATTTTACATAAATCTGGCAAAAACTTTATTAGTCTTTTAATTTAGCTTAATGTTTTATTCATTTTAAAGCCATTTACTTGCCCTCTAAAAGACCCACAGTCTTTTCCCTGAAGGCTAATCAGCAAGTTCTTTTCCCCTCTGTGCCAACATAGAATCTCCAGAACAGTTTCTACTAGCTGCAGCAAAGCAACAATTCTACAGTGCATCTGATTTACTATCTGGTTAGGTACATACTGAAATCTTGATTTCATGAACATCTTAAGTCAGCTTACGCACATGAATGAAAAGAAAATTGACACTCTGGCATGTCAATGCCAACAACCAAGTCACTTTACTTCAAAAGGAAACAGACTTTAGGAGCTAATAATTCACACAAATGAAGAAAAGTATCCAAGATAAAAGTACCTCAGCTAAGTTTGAAATTACACACACCGTGAAAAGGAGATTCAGAATAAATATTTTAAAATACACAATGAGACTAAATTAAGTTTGGCCAAACAGATTTAATTCAGCCCTAATGGTATGAACAAATCAGTACATCTTGAAAACGCTTGCTTACTTCTAGCAATTAAATCCTTACTATGCCAGGATTTCAATCTAGTGTCACTGTTTTCTCAAAAAATTTTGTGACACAACATATAGTGGAAGGAGACGAGTATTATTTGAATGGAACACAGGAAAACCCTGATATGCAAATGTGAAAGGAAATGATGAAACTACAAATATTTTTAATTTACAAAAAAAAAGGTAAATGTATCAAAGAATCACTAAAACATATTTGCCAATAATGTTACACAAGACCTCTAACTGGCTTGAAACATCACATTCTTTCAAGCAACATATAGCAAACTGCTTTCTCAAGGACTATCTGTAACAGTGACTAGTGAAAACCCTTTGAACTATTTTTCAGATTATCATCTCTCTTTTCCATTTAAGTATTTTCGTCAAGTACAACACTGAAACAGTTTTTAAGGAAATGTATAATTTTTAAAAGCCATTTAATCTCAATTCCCTTAATCAAAGGAGGTGTGACAACCAACGCATGTAAAATTAACCTTAATCCTCCAACGAAAACACGCAAAATGTCTCCTAACAATTCCCCTCCTCCTTAAAACAACAACCGTACACATAAATATGGTACTGACCTCCACCCCCACTGAGAGCAGCTAATTAATAAAGAGAATAGTTACGTTTGGAGACCAAGGTGCAACACCCTACCTCACAAACCTCCCAAAATAACCACATCATCAAACTAGAACTGAACATTATTTTTCCTAAACCAAGAATCCAACCCCCGGGAGCCTCAGCCCTTAGACAATGGTGGTTACCAGATAGAGCTGCACAGTTGGGTCCAAATGACACATTTCACTAGGCCTTGGACACAGCACACACTCACACTCTCCCAAGGGGCCAGCTGGAAAGAAGGGGCGTTCAAACCCCACTAGGAGACGGAGGGTGGCACGGTGGCGTAGGGGTTCGCTAGGGGAGGACAGGCGAGAGGGGTGGTCGACAGAGCGGAAGGGTAACTGCACCGCACGCGAGGGAGGGGGCTGGAAATGGCCGATGGATTCTATATTTATTTATTTAAAGGTCTTGATTTAACGGGTCCTTCCCAGGGGTTCTGTAACGAAAGCCAAACTGCGCAGCAAACATTGTGGGGTTGGGAGAGTAGTCGCTGCTCCCCCTACCCCGTGACTAGGGAGGGGGGTGGGGGAAACAAGTTCCCCGGCCAACACCACAGACCACTCGGATTCCCCCCCTTCCCCCTCCTCCACAGGAAGGGGGAGGCTAACAGAGAAAAGGGGGAAAACAAGTTCCCCAGCCAGCCCCATCGCCCGATCACTCCCAGTTGTTCCCCCCACCTTCTGTTAGGAAGGGGGAGTCTAAACCGTGGAAGGCAGCAGAAAAGGGGGAAATCCCACCCTCTGCCTCCCCCCACCCTAGCCACCAACAGACTCCTCCGGGGTCCGTGAGCCAGGCGAGAAGCCAAAGGATGGGTGGGGGTAGAGGGTGCCGAGCCCCCGCAACCAAACAAAGCGCGGCCTGAGCGAGAGCCCGGGCGAGTGGGGAAGCCGCGGCTTTTCCTGCCAGCCGGGGCCCGGGCCGGGCTGACACTGCGGCACCGGCGGACCCGCCTCCGCTCGGCCTCCGTCTCCCACCCCCGGGGCGCACAGGCCTCCCCCGCCCGCCCCGGTCTCCCTCCCCGCGGGTCCCGGCCGGCCGGCGCCCGAGCCGGCGGGCGGCGGGGAGGGAGCGCGGCCTTACCCCGCTCGCCGGCGTTGTTCCGCTCCTGGGGCAGCGGCGGAGGCGGCGGTGGCGGCGGCGGAGGCTGCTGCTGCTGCGGCGGCGGCGGAGGCTGCTGCTGCGGCTGCTGCTGGGGCGGCTGCGGCGGCGGCTGCTGCGGGGGCTGCTGCTGCTGTTGCTGCACCGGGCGCGGCCGCGACACTCGCCTGGGTCTCCGGTTGGCGGCTCGGACGGAGTTCATTTGCCGGGCTGAGGTGGCGGCGTTGGCGGAGGGACACACACACACGCACACGCACTGCGAGCTCCGGGGCAGGAGAAGGGGGTGGGGAGGGGGAGGAAGGAAAGGGGGCGAGGGGAAGGGGAGATGGGAAGGGCGGAGGGGGCGAGCGAGAGCCCGAGTCCGAGAGAAAGGCCCGCGGAGACGGAGACCGAGCGAGGCCGGGCGGGCGGGCCTGACGCGCGGGGAAGGCCGAGGCCGCCGGGCGGGGCGGCCGCGAGGGACGGAGACAGAAAGAAAGGGCGTCCGCCCGCCTGGGGATCCCGAGGCGAAGCGCGGCGTCGGCGGGTGAGGAGACAGACTCCGGTCCCGCCGACTCCCGAGCGGCGTCTCCGGCGGCGGGGGGAGTGGGCGGGCGGGCGAGGAAGGGAGAAGGAGGAGAAGAGAGGGAGAGAAGGGAGGGAGGGAGCAGGGGGCGCCCGGCTCGTTTTTTCCCTCTTCCTCCCCCCACACCCCCTGAAAGAGATTTCTGTGAGGAATTTTTTCTTTCTTCGGCCTCTTCTCTCTCCTCCCCCCCCTTCTCTCCTCGGCGAAGGGGAAATGAGTGTGAAGGGAGGAGATAGAGGGAAAAAGAGGCGTCGTCGTTCCTCCTCCTTAAAGGAACCCTTCCTCCTCCTCCTCCTCCTCAACCCCGTCGCCGCTGCTTCTGCTGCTGCTCCGTGGCAGGAGGAGCCATTGACACCGCCGGAGCCTCCACTCGCCCAGTGGGTCCCTCCCCGCCGCGGGGCTGGCCAGGGGCGCGGGGGAAGGCCGCGGGGCGGCGGGGGGAGGGGTGAATGGGCGGGGAAGCAGGTGGGCGGGGATTCCAGCCAAGCAGCCAATGGGGAGCTCCCATACAACCTTCAGGCCAATGGGGCCTCCGCTCTTATGGCGGAGTCCCTTCCTTCAACGCCCTGTTTCCTCTCTCGGGTTTCCTCCCTCCCTCGCAGAGGAGGGGGAAGGAGGGATGGGGGAGTGTGGTGGGGCGGGTGATAATGGGGAGGTATCAGGGCATATAATAGAGCGGGGGGTGGGCGAAGAGAGCGCTAGTGCGTAGCGACGATTCTAGGAGAGGAGGTGCTCGGAGGGAAGGGCGGGGGCTGCTGATGTAATGGGGAGAAGTGATTAATCCTTTGGTTCGCCTTTTCAGTCCTTCCCTCCCCCCCTCCCCCCCCCCCCCACCACCTTCACCCGATTTTTTAAGCAGGAAAAAAAGTGGAGCCAGGGAGCCGATCCTTGGTAACTCGCGTTTTCTGTGGTAGGTAGGTTCAAAGTGTGAGCTGTAGGGAGCGCTAGAGATTCTGTGCCCTTTAGCCCAGCTGAGGGTATTTGCAAACCTTGGAGATCCAATTCACTGAGCTTTCAGCTTGTAACCGAAGTTTGGAGTACTTTCCTAATCGTAGCCTAAGAGGAGTCACCTAAGTCTTGAAAAAGGTTTTGGTAAATAGGCAATAGACCTTTGGTCAATTTCTTTTTTGGAAACGTGGTCTATATTAATGTTCAGGAAAATACTATGTGAGAAAAGGAGGGAAGTAAATGTGCTGAGGTTATGATTGTTTATGTGATTTAAGAAAAAAATTTTTCTTAGATCCCACAAACTCAAAGGAAAAGGAAAAACCCCAGGAGGAATTATCTTTTGTATCTGTATCTGGTCCCCTCAGCATAATCTGTCCCCAAGGAAAACGCGTTTTTATTCCCTAGCTTTTGTTGTGAAGACGGAAAAAGTACCCTTTCTCAATTCGCTTCGTTCTCCCTTTTGTTTATCATTTTATGGATGTGGTAAAACTCGCAGTTTACCTGATTCTCTGGTTTTCAGACCTTTGGGTGATTTCTCTCTTATTTGAGTTTGATCAATTGCTGCTAGGTTTGAGATAGATAATTAAGCGGTTTACAAAGTATGATAAAGGCTGAGAGGCAGAAAAGTGTGTACTTGGGGAAAGGGGAGTGAAGGGCAAGGACAGATGAATCGTTATTGTGCAGGGTGTTTGAATCCCTGATTTGATTATGTGACTCTAGGCAAATTACCTTTCTAGATAATGAGGGTTCCTCACCTTTTAATAAGAATTTATTTTGGATGACATAATCCTCTTTTCAATTTTTAAAAATTCTGTAGTTCTGAGATGATCTCTTTGGTCCTGAAAATGTTGAAACTTAGATCTAAGTTTCCGTCTCCAAAAAATATTTGAGGAAGGGGTTTGTTAGAAAACAACTGAAGAACTCCAGATTTTTATGGTTGTTAGCTAGGTGCCAATGGGTAAAATTTTAGATTTGGTTCAGATAAATATAAGGGGAGGGGGAGGAAAATTACTTGCTATTATACATATAGGTGGATCCATAATTCTGATTTTTCTGAAAATTTACTTTTTTATTCAACAAGCACTTACTGGTTCCTTCTGTTCCATCTGCATTACTATGTAAGGTGCTATGGGAAATACCAAATAAAAGGCAAAAACCTTGGGCATAAAGCTTTTGTAATTTGGCATGGCAGAGGTGAAGATTTACTTATATTAATTCAGATGTACAAAAAATATATAGCTTGTTTATTTTCTGTAATGTTTAACCTTCTCGAGTCTGTACATTCTCTCTCTCTCTTTTTTAACATAGAGGTTGAATCTTTGAGATTTACCCACCTCCCTCTCGTTCCAAGATATGTATGGGGGTTGAGGGTTGCCGTATAAGGTGAATAGGTTTCATATCTTTGGTATCCTAGATTTTATTATGACAGTTGTCTGGCATGTGGCAGTAAGATGCCTTGTTCTAACAAAACCAGTATATTATGATCATGAATTTCTGATAGGTGGAAGTAAAGTGTCTCGAGAAAGGAAGTGTCTTTTACTAATTTACACAGTGACTGGTGGGTTGGTAGCAGCCCTGAGGGCTGGGTAGACTTACATGGCATCAGCAAAGCCCCACTTGCCACCTCTTGTGTTATCCACACGAGGTATGGAGTGGCTGCTACGGTCTGAAAGCAGGATTGATAGCCCCAGAGGCAAAACTGGTCATTTCTGTTTCTTTGAGATATCATGCCGGTTCCCTTCCTGAAGTACATACATGAGCCATTTGCTGTATCTACTGCAGCCTTAGTACTGACTGACCCCTGATCTCTGCAGGTCCATTGATTCTCACAGTGCCATTCTCTCTCCTCATGGAGACATACGGGAACTTCCTGATTCCCCGAACACCACGTGTAGGCCTTGATGAGCCAGGAGCCTTGCTTTGGGCTTATCTATTGAGCCATCTCCCTCCACCAATGTTGCATTATTCTCCCTACGTCATATTGAACATGCCATTAAGCTGAAAGCTGAGTTTCTAGAGGACTCAGCCTCCCACAGGCAGGCTCAGGGAAGCGAACCACTATCCCCTGTTTCCTTGGATTTCCCCAGATCTATGTGAACTGTAGACCTCCAATTGTAGTTTCCGCCCTAAGAAGGGGTGGAAGGTAAGCACGCTGGGTCTGATTACCTCTTCCTTGTATCCCTTTTTTCTTTCCATCATCCCTCAGGGCTATAGGAGATGAATTTTTCTCCTTCTTGTATGTCAGGAGCTTTCCTTATGCACCATATCCTGTTCATTCTTGTGATGGCGTCTGCTCTGCTCCCTTTCTTGGAGCCATGATGGCTGATGGAGTGCAAGAGAGAAACTAGTTTAACAAGAATGGAACACCTATTGGGAGGTAACAGAAAGTATTATCCTGTCCCCATATCTGTCGTTCCTACATATTTTTAGTCTACCTCATGGGATTAAATGTTCGAATCACCTTTGTGCAGAAGTGTTCAAAGCCATCTTAAAATTGTGGAACTTGGGAGTTGTTAGAATGGGCCTTGGAGATCATTTAATTTTTATTCCTGTATTTGACAGGCTGGGAAACTAAAGTTCCAAGAGGTAAGGTGACAAAACCAAATCCCATTACTGCAAAGTTACTGTCTGTCAGTACAGTGCCCATTCCATTCACAGGTATTTATAGGCTCGATTCTTCCATAAAAACCCCAAGTATTCCAGATAGTGTTATCCATTGCCAGGTCCACCTGTGTTAGTAAATAATCCCATCAATTAGCTATTATAGAAATTATGTGGGACAGAAAACAGGAGAAAAATGTAAAGGGGGTTTTTATTTGGGATGGGAGTCTCCCAGAATGAGTGCAGTAGACACTTAGCATAATTTCAGAGGACTAAATTCCCTCCAGGTTTGCTCTCTCTTCAAGAACATTTGTGTTTGTTTTTCTCAACTAATTACTGGTGCTTAACAGGTTAGTGTACTTAAAATTATTTCTTTATCAAACCTATCACAATAGCAGTAAGAAAAAAAATAAGCCCTTGAATCATTTTAATACCTGGCAGGTGATATTTACTGTGATTTTTATTTTTTTATTTTTATTTATTTGTGTATGTATTTATTTTTTTATTTTATTAACATATAATGTATTATTTGTTTTAGGGGTATAGGTCTGTGATTCATCAGTCTTACACAATTCACAGCGCTCACCATAGCACATACCCTCCCCTACTGTGATTTTTAAATGGCAATTTTTACCATGTCAGAGATTCAGCCTCCTTTTCCTCTGTCATGCCATCATCTAGTCCCAAGCCATCAGTACTCAGTCAGTTACATAAGACACCTCAGAGCTGCTCACTCCTTTTATGTCATTTAGGAAATTAGTTTGATCTGAATATGGTTTTCCTGAAGGAATAACCAGCTGTTTAAAATATCCTTGTTAGAGTATGAATGACTTATCTCACTAAGCTGCAGAAATTCATTCTTTAGTACATGCTCAGATAATATTTTATCAGTTAGGCAGTGAAAATTAACTTGGAGCTAAGGATTTAAACTTAATGTATATGGGGGGAAACCTGGTAAGCACGCAGTCCAATGATACTTGTAATAGAGGTTATCTTTAAAGAGTTATAGATTTGAACTTTAATACCCTTCCCTGTGGAATATAATAGAAACATAGCTCTCTTAAAAAATTAATTATGTGCAAGATTTAGGATGGGCTGTGATAGGCAGTTGTAAATCTTTATTTTTGCTTTTTAAAAGCAGAATCCAATTTCCAAGCATTGAGAGAAGATGAGGCCAAATGATGGAAGTGTGTTATATTATGGAAGAACTGGTAGGTGACCTCCATGTGGGCAGATGTCAGAGCAGAAGACCAACCGGGAGCTCTGCCACTTACTAGCTGTCTAGCTTTGGGCAAATTACTTAGCCTCCTGTGCTTTAGTTCCTGCATCTGTAAAATGAGGGTGATAATAGTCCTTCCTTCACTTGATTGTTGTGAGGACTGAGTAAATCAATACCTATAGTACGCTTGGTGCGTAGTGGGGGCTCAGTAAACTGTCAGCCGCTGTGGCTGTTGACATTGGTGCTGGTGTTATTTCAGGCCTTACTCGATGACTTTCAAAACTACACAGACACGGGATGCCTGGGTGGCACAGTCGGTTAAGCGTCTGACTCTTAGTTTCCACTCAGGTCATGATCTTGCGGTCGTGAGATGGAGCCTCTCTTCGGGCTCTGTGCTTAGCAAGGAGTCTGCTTGAGATTCTTCCTCTCCATCTGCCCCTCCACCTCTCCACCCTCTCGAAAATAAACAAATAAATAAAATCTTAAACAAAAAAAACTACACAGACATTATATGTAGGGAAGCAGGTAAGGC